TATTTATTTTTAAGCTTATGTAATTTTTATCAAGTAATACAATATGTAGAAGCGGCATATGACTTCATCATGACATGAGTAGTTTTTATAATTTATAGTTTATAATATGATGCATAGTTAAATATTTGACCTATTAAATATTCTTATTTGTATTAATAATATCATTAAAAAGGGGGGCTTGCATCATGGTTGTTAAGTTTTGAAGGACATTTTTATGACTTGTAGACATATTTGCTTAATAAACTTTGTAGTACTCTTATGTATGAGTTTTTAATAGGCTGCTTAGTTGTTAAGGTTTTTCGCTTATAGCGTATGGTTAATTTTACTGGTATTTTTTTAAACATCTTTCTTACTATTTCTTAAAATAGTTTTTGAGAAAGATGATTTATAAAACAATAAAAAGACTATCCCAAATGAAGCCTTATTATTATTAATCATGAGCCACCAAACTATAAAGATTTATTCATAACTTTTTTTTTTGGAAAATTCATTCATCATCATAACATTATAATCATAACTGCTGAGTTGGTAACAATTGTTTGAGTTGCAATTAAGTGATCCAAGTGTTTATCATGCATAGATCGATGTGGCATGCCAGATCTTACCTAGAAGTAATTGGCATATATTGCTAAACTCATCTGATCATCTAATCATCTATTGAGCTAATGAGCATCAATTCAAGTACAGAATGAAACTGAGATGTGCACTATTAGTATATAAGAAAATTTTCTGCCCATCCATAGTTAAAATCATCATTCTTGTAACATTAATAACACAAAAGAAAATGGAAATACAAGATTAAAATTACAATGACCTTACACATACATAAACACCATGTCAACACTCCAACGATGGCTTGTGATAGAGCTAATGCTCTTCTAACACTTAGCTACGAGGCATGTGACTACAACAACATAATTGACTGAGATGATAAACACTCACACAAACTCAAAATACACAAAAAACATTAAAAGTCTTCATGAATATTAATGGTACATGAAGCTTTGAAGTAAGTAAATTAACAACATATATAACAATGGATTTAAGCCTCCCATGTCTCAAAAGCACCGTTGACAAAATCGTAGTACCCTCCGTACAAAGCCAAAGTCTTTTTCTCCAGGCCTTCCTTAACATATGGGTAAGTCTTCAAATTCTCAAGAGAAACTTTCACAGCTTCCTGCAAGTATTTAAATGCCATTGAAATTGAGAATTAGAAAAAAAAGATATGCATTATCAAAACAATTCAAAAGTTATGTCATATAATACTGTTTGATTTATTGTTATTTGAAATAGATTATCATTTAACTACCAAAAATAAAAGTCTTATTATTTATTTGATATTGTTCTTTTGCCAAAAATAGTATTTTTATTGGTGTATCATTTTTAAGAGTATGAATTTACTTTAATTAATGCCACTCGTATAGCTAATAATGCCCTAATCTATTAATTTTTACAATGATATCACCCTGTTGAATAATGAATTTCTTAATTTATATCAAGATAAGGGTACAACGAGAGGACAAAAATAAGTTTAATAATTACCTTCTCCAACTTTGAGCACTGTTCTTCAAAGGAGAGATCACTGTGAGCTTGATTCACTGCTTCTTTTGCCGTAGTGCAGATTTTGACCCAATCCTCTATAAAGTCACTGTACATGAAAGTTATTTACCGGATTAATAATATGACATATTTATTCCATTTGAATTATGCTTAAAGATATTATTTGAAGAAATATACAATTTAGTAGTTGATAAAAAAAAATTCTTGCGAGTTATGTTGGTGAGAAAAATCTCTAATATTTTCTCTTAGAAGAGGTATGATGAGTTTGGGATAGAGGGATTGTTTGGGATAGCTTTATGAACAGCTATATTTTTCACATAATAATCATAATTTTATTTTGTTATTATTTTTTTCTATTTTTTCACTATTTTTCAAGGATTTTTAAGATGAAAAGGTGTTTTCTATATCTATAGTAACAAGACATTTTCTCTATAAAAACTTCACAATTAACTTTATAAAATACTATAGCAGTCCCAAACAATTTATAAATTATACTCTTTTATATTTTGTGATATATAGCTCCTATATGTGGTATAAATCATGTTGCTCTTTTTAAGTTATGAATTGAATTGCTTAACTGAATAAGCTAAACAGTGGCAATGATTGAAGCATTTTGATTTAGAATTCTATCTTTCATTTCACTTCTTACAATCTTCATAATGTTTATCATATATTCTTATTTGAATTATTGAGTTGAAATATTTGAGAAACATATACAATTATGGAAACTTCAGAAAAAGTCTGACTTAATTGTTACATAAATGTAGCAATATCCTGATAACCCTATATCTCCAAGAACTAATACTACAAAACTTCTACAAGCAACTGGGCTAAATGATGCATAATTCTATGTATAAATGGCAAAAGAACTACTAGAACTAGATACTAAATATAAAATAACATTATAGCTATGTGGCAATATATGTAAAACTTACGTGCCGAGAGAAGCATTGTCTTTAATAGAGAGGAGCGCTTTGATCCCTCCACAACGACTGTGTCCAATAACAATAATATTCTCTACCTGTCATACATGAAGTTTAACCTATCCTTAATACATATAAGGAATTAATATATCAACCATGTAACTATGTCTTCTTCCTTTTTAATATAATTAAATCAGATTTAGGTTTAGTTCGGTACAACTTTCTTATTCTTTCTAAAACAAATTTTTAGTATAAAATTTTTTTATTTAAAACTATTTTAAAAACAATAAGAAAACTATCATGAATAAAATCATATCCAATTTTACTATATACTTTATAAGCTTGAGATAAGTTGATGACAAGTTCTAACAAATACAATATATCATATAATTGCCTATAGATAACCTCATCCCTTCATTAAAAATAAGGGGTAATTGCAAGTGATAATATTAAGATGACTATTAGTTTTTAATTAATTAGATAAAGTCAAACACAAAACATCATTCATTAAGGCTAATTGTGATAAGCTCATTGAAATACCTTGAGGTGAACAACGGGGTACTCAATAGCAGCACCAATACCAGAATATCTTGTCTGGAGGAAAAAATAAAAATAATAATAAGTACACTGTGAAGTGTTATAAATCAGAAATAATTGAAGGGAAATACTATGCTAATAAATCTGTAACATAGAAAAAAAAAAATTTGTTGTGATTATAGAGAGTGCTTCTTGATGATGCAGAAGGAAGGATGAAATGGTTAAGTAAATATACCTTGTCATAGGGTGGTACCATGTTAGCGATGTTGCGGATGGTAAAAGCTTCCCCAGGTTGAAAGTTGAACAATACAGATGGGCACACGCGTGAATCCGAACACGCAAATACTAGAAACTGCACATAGGAGGATTTGATTTTGAACAACTAAAATCAGAAATTTATACATTAAAATATGTATAATCTTACAGTCAATGTTCGACTGCTGCTATTTCTGTGCAAGTTTAAGTTGGAAAATAATTTAGTTTATCCTTGATAGGCCTCTGTCCTTTTGCGAAGGAGAATTTTGATTCTGTTTCAGATCTTTTTGGAAATAATCAAATAACCGTTTCCTATTTTCTTCAAAAACACAAAATCTAAAACGTTTCTAATCATGCTATATATATAGGAGAGAGAGAGAGAGAGAGGACGTTTGTAGAAACATAAAACTGATAAAAGTTGCTTAGTTTAACAGAAAAAAGAATGGAAATGTTATATATAATAGATAGAGTTTGAAAGTTCTTGAAGGGAAAGCCTGGAATTCCACAGCAAAATTTTACTTATTTCTAATTTTATCTATGTCCAAAATTATATTATTGAAATTGGAAAGCTTTACCTTTGGACTCTGGCCCCCGGCAAGCTGGTTAAACACCTCGGGCTTCTTCCTGCCATCAAAATTAAACCAAACAAATCTCTTACGTCTAAGAAAATAATATTGCTTAGCAAAAACCAAAGTAATTCACATCCCGAGAATATACAATTTCTTTAGCACTGCCAATAGATAAGATTCAAAGATTAATTCTGTTACTATTCCCATAATTTCTTTTCTTTTTGGTCCCTTATAAATCATTAAAGCCTGAAAATAAAATTGATAGAGGGGATTTATGAACGCACTCGTAAACTTCCTTCTTAAACTGCTCAAAACCGGATTTCAATCGATCAACGGACGCCATTTCCTGCAATCATTAATGAAATGGAGAGCATACAAACATAATCAGAAGGATGAAATACAAAGCTCAGCAGATAGGAGATTAGATTACAGAAATCGAACAGTAAAGAGAATAAAATAGAAAGAAATGAAAAAGTATATAATACACTCTATTTCTGGATTTCGATAGATCTTTCAGTCCTGTAGATCTATATGTGTATTTATAGAGTGGAAAGGAGCAGTTTTTGAATCGTGGAGATGCAAAAACTGCAGAGAAGAATAGTGGGCTTCAGTTGCTGAAACTGCTGTAGGCGGTTTGCTGCTGTAGTTTCGGTTGGAGATGGGAGGACGGGTCGACTGTGAAGTGGCCCGCCCAAGCGTGGCCCAGTCTCGCACTACTCCAGTTGGAATCGAATCTGAACGCAATTGCGAAGATTTGAAGGATGATTGGGAGAGGATAAGTTTTTAAATGGATATAAATTATTTTTGGATACTATGAAGAAAGCATATTATTAAAGGCTTCATCCAAAAATTTTTTTTTTTTTTGGGAAAATTTGGGCAACTGCCCCTATATTTCAAAAGAAATAAAGGTTACATATAAAGAAGGTTACTCCCTCAGAAAGTTGCAAGGATTAAGGAATGAGATTTAGGGATGACTTTTTTATTATATTTTAAAACAGTTTTTTAGTATACAAAAATTAAAATTTTTAAAACCAAGCTGTTGCACAATTTATAAAACTATCTTATTATTTTGTGTATGTTCATTCATTTTTTTTTAATTGTTAAAAATCTTGTTCAAACTTATAAATATTTTATTTTATAATGGTCGAATCGTAATCCTTTCAAACTAATTATATATTTTATCATGTTAATGATTTAAAATATATAGACTAATTACTAAGTATAATTGTTGTTGCGTCATAGAATATTCGCAGTGGTAGAGAAATATAGAATTTAATGTCTTAACTTTGTACGAAGATCCGACACACACAGATATGAGAGAGGTTGTACGTAGCATTCATATGAGACACCAAGATTTTTACATGGAAAACCCCTGAAAAGGGTGAAAAACCACGGGGCCTAGCCCAATTAAAATTTGGGCAACTGCCCCTATATTTCAAAAGAAATAAAGGTTACATATAAAGAAGGTTACTGCAAAAAAACTCCTCCTCTAATACAAACAATGAGGAGCGACAGTAAAAAAAACCAAAATACATGTATACCACCCAGTATAAACCAAAAAAGATAAATGAAGAGCCAAAATTGGTAGATACAACAGCCAATAACAGCAAAAAAGCCACCACAGACGAAGATGACAGCAGAGATGAGCAGCTGGGAGGCACCAGAAAATCCAGACCGAGCAAAATCCTGCAATGAAGAGAGAAAAATTACCAGCTCCCGATGCCAGGAGACTGGACTCAGAGAAGAGAATGTGTCCCTGGTTGCCCAAAGACCCTCCAAGGAACACACATTGGGGAGCATCATCATCGTCCAGTCCCCTATAACCCCAGGCAAAACGAAGGGACAGGGGACCAAAAAGAACCAGCCATTTATAATTTATCCAGCAAAACATCAACTTTCTTCCAATTCAACAGCTTCTCAAACATCACCCTTTTGATGGACAGCAAAACAGTGGTAGAACATTGATTTATACCACTAAATCTCCTACTATTCCTTTCTTTCCAAATAAAATATATACTGCAGCAGACCGCCAACTTATAAAAGTTCAAATCAGTCACATTAGCACAGAATTTAACTTTCATCCAGTCATATAATTGCAATATGGTCGGTCTGAGAAGAAATATTTCCACCCCAGGAATTAAGCATCTTAATATGGAAAAAGAGAAAGAGCATTCAAAGAAGATATGAGCAATAGATTCATCACAGATATGGCATAGGCTACAGGTTTTAGGAACCAGAATATGCCTAATTCTTAGCGCATCCGCCGTCTTCAGGCCATCCCGTAAGGCCAACTAAACAAATACAGCATGCTTAAGAACATACTTTTTATGCCAGACCAATTTAGCCCAAGAGCAGTCATTGTAATCAGAATAATATTCCTTGATAAAAAGCTTAAAATGAAAGCAGTTCTTTTCCTTCCATAACAAGCTAGGCCCCTCACCCTCCTCAATATTAATTTGAGTCAAAGTCTGGTGATATAAGGAAGGGATTACCCCAGAATAATCCCAACGGTTCATAGAAATAATATTTTTCAACATGATGTCTGGTAAACCAAAATTATCCACCATACCACAAAAATTCCCCAACGTAGAGTTAAAGCACCAGTGATCCCACTTTAGAGATATAGGAGAATTTTTGTAAATTCTAAACTGGAAAAGGGATTTAACACTACCAGCTGTGCAACAAATCGATTTCCACAATTTTGAAGCAGAAAAGTGAGGGGGCTTCCAAGGAGAACAATACTTAGCTAACAGCCAGCAAGCTAGGGGAGAAACAGAGTTGTACATTTTTAAAATAACAGAACAGTTGAATGCAAACTGCATAGCATTAATAGAATAAATCCCCAAACCACCTTTTTCTTTGGGTAAACAAATTTTATCCCAAGAAACCATATGGAGCTTCTTATCAGTATTGGAGTTGCCAAAAAACAAGAATCTAGAGCATACTTTCTTGAAAACCTTGTGCACAGTTTTAGGTATTATCGACCCCCTAATCCAGTAGGCAATAGTGTTTTGAATAGTGAACTTGAGGTATTGAAGTCTGCCCGCAAGAGAAAGGAGATTTGCTTTACAGCCATTTAGTTTTTTGTTAATACTATCCAACAAGGGCAAGAAATCTGCAACATTGAGCCTATAGAAGGAGAGATGAATCCCCAAGTAGGTGATCTTGGAAACAATAGTATGAATGGAAAGCAATTGACACACCTCCAGCTGATTACTCACATGCTTAGGGAACATAATATAGGATTTGTCATGGTTAATTACTAGACCAGAGGAGTTAGCAAAATCATTAATGACAGAGACAAGAATTTGGCAATTCTCATTTGTAGCCTCACCAAAAATTAAGACATCATCAGCATACAGGAGATGTGAAAGTTTAAAATTCCCATTAGAGATACCTTTAAAACCTCTACCATCCAGCAAGTTAGAGAAGGCATCCATGACAATACAGAAAAGATATGGGCTAAGAGGACACCCCTGCCTCAAACCAGCCGAAGAAGGAAAGAAACCTTCAAGTGCCCCATTCAAGACAATAGAGAAATTGGCATCAGAGACACAAGCCTTAACCCAATTAGTAAAGGTAGACGGAAAACCTTTCTGATTAAGTCTAGCAAGAAGGAAATCCCTGGAGACAGAATCAAATGCTTTCTTGATATCCAACTTAGCACAGAAAATTTTTTCCCCACCTCTTTTACCAGCATGAAAAAGAATATCATTTGCAAGAAGAATGTTGTCAGTAGACACCCTAGAGTTCACAAACCCAGCTTGGTTATCTTTAACAATCAAATTCATGAACGGCTTGATTCTAGTAGCCATAGTTTTGGCAATGATTTTGTAAAGCACGTTACACAAGGCAATCGGTCTATAATCAGAAATATTAGAAGCATTTTTCTTCTTAGGAACAATGGCTAGAGCAGTAGCCTTAACACCTTTAGGGAGATAACCTTTAATGAAGAAAGATCTGATAGCCCTACAGACATAGGGACCAAGGATGTGCCAACCAGATTTATAGAAGTGAAAGTTTATACCATCAGGGCCTGGGGCAGACTTAGAAGAGCCAGAGAAAACAGCAGCTTTAATATCTCCATCCGTCACAAAAGAGATAAGAGAATGAGCTTGGTCAGCAGCCAAGGCTGTCCCCACAGGGAAAATAGCCAAATCCCTATTGCAAGGGGGGATAGGATTATAAAGTTCTTGATAGTAATTAATGATGGTAGCAGTAACTTCCTCTTTTGAAGATTGAGAATTATGATTGAACAGATTAACAACCGATTTCTTACTCCCCATTCTAATCCTAATTTTAGCATAGAGGAATTTAAGATCATCTTCACCATGTTTCAACCAATTAACCTTGGCTCTTTGAATAATCCAGGAAGCTTGCAAAGACATAAACTCAGCTAACTTGGCATTGTTCTCTTTATAAGCTTGATTCAAAGATGAGCTGGAAGGATCAGTATGGAGAGAATCCAACAGGGATTATTGAGTAGCATGAAGGAAATCAATGTGTCTACTAACACAAGAGGAAGAAGCCCACTTCTGAGCTTTAATTTTCTGTTTAAGACTTCTCAGAGAATTGCAGAAATTAGCCAAAGGGTTTCCCGAATGCTGCATGAAAAGGAACTCAGCAAGGAGAGACCAGTATTCATCAAGCTTGGTCCAATAGTTCTTGAAGAGAAACCTATGCCTTGACTGATTATGAGATCCAGACAGTAAAAGAATCGGGGAATGGTCAGAGCAAGAAGGACTCTGAAAAGAACAGAAGGAGTCGGGATAGGAATTCAACCAGGAATCATTTACCAAGACTCTATCAAGTTTGATATGAATTGGATTGTCCTGACGTTGATTATGCCACGTGAATTTACACCCAATCGATTGCAGATCCAAAAGACAATTGTTGAAGATCATGGAATTGAAATCAAACAAAGCAGCCTGATTAATATCAGATCCACCCAGCTTCTCAGAAGCGAACCTACAACAATTGAAATCGCCAATAATAGCCCACGGCATATGAGAAGCAGGGGCTGCCAAACCAATGTCATTCCACAAAGCTTTACGTTCCTGACTACTGTTGGAAGCATACACAGCAGTGAGTTGAAAGGAGGAAAATGAAGAGCCTGTCACAAGACCAGAAATCATTTGAGAAGAAATGAAATTAGGAGTGAAGTTTAGTTTGAGAGGGTCCCACTTGACCCAAATTCTCCCAGACAATGCATGATCAAAATTGTGGCAGCTTGATTCATTCTAAAAGAGAGAATGAGAAGACTCAAAAAATTGATCAGTTAAAGATTTCAACTGAATCCTGTTTTCCAACACACAAACCAAATCAAGTTTAAACGAATCCACAAGA